CCCAGGAGTGGTGACCTTCTGAGAAGGTTGTCTTCTAGAAGATTATCCCTGTGTTTACTGCGTTGGACACCTCTGTCCTATTTCAAGTCTTGTTTTTTAACCTTCCACAAATTATCCGAGTTGCCAAAACCCTTCCAACAAGGTTCCTTTACTTGGTTGACCAGAACTGACAACATGGTCCACTCAAAAATAGTTGGTTTCTGTTGCTGGCAACCAGGAATCTGGACTGAAGTTTGTGCTGGAAAATGACAGCACAGCAGTAAACAAGGCAGGCAATGTTCTTGCCCTCACGAAGCTTACATATTAATGGAAAACTAAGTTTACTTAGCACTAAGGTAACACAGCCTACATTTGTAAATTTCAGCCTTTGTTTTCATACACTCATGTATTTTATCATTTTCTAAACAGACAAGGAAGATTTTATTTAGGACTGTCTTGATAGGGATCAAGATTACTTCAGTGGAGGAGACAACTTGAACTCAACTCTGTGGAAATAAAATGTGGGGGAGTTTTAAGTGTTGAGGTGAGCTAGAAGAAATGCATTGGAGGAAGTTAGGGGAGAAGTTGTAATGCAGTTTGGCCATCTGTGTTGGCAAAATTGCACTTGAAGGAGCTAGGCTTCTACCCTCCTACAGAGGCTGGGAGATAAGAACACTATCTTTCTTGATGATTCTATTTCAAAGGGATGGCTCCAAAGTTTTTTAAAAAGGTATTTCTGCTAAGATGGTAGTGCACACCTGTAATCCCAGTCTTTGGGAGTTGGAGGCAGGAAGATCACAAGTTCTAAACCAACCTTGGATTCATAGTAAGACCACCCCCTCTCAAAAACCAATGACTGGGGATGTGGATCAAGAGATAGGGTCTCACTATCTTTCCTTGGGCTAGCCTCGAACTTGCCATGATCCAGCTTCTGCCTCCCAAATAGATGGGATTATAGGTGGCCACCACCACTCCTCGATCTGAGTGATCTTTTGAGGCCACCTGGTCGGTCAGTTGCCTTTGATCAAACATCACATGATGAAGATTTCACATGCAGCAAGTCATGTACTATATTGTTTATTGAACATTGAGTCACACTAGCTGAAATGCTATTTCATTTAACTATTATAGACATAGGCTAATTGTTTACTTCTAAGGCTAGCCTAACTGCCCTATTTAATTATAGATTGTTTTGATCAATATCAGACTTCTGCTGGATACTTAAATTGCCCACTCATTTGTTAATTTAAGAAGAAATTGTTGCCTCTTGAAAAATATTTTGGTTTATGATTTTTGGCTAAGACTAGTAGTAGAGAACTTGCTTTGCCTAGCAAGGCAAGGCCCTGAGTTCCACTCCCAGCAATAGAAAATATCCCCCCAAAAAAGAATAGCATTTGACACATTTGACAAGCAGGCCCCCATTACAACCTCCTTGCTGTCTCATGAAAATTGCTAAGAAGAAACTTACACAATTCCAGCTTAAGAGAAGGAAAAAGACTCTATCCAGTGGCAGAATGTGGCAGAAATTAGTGAAGACAAATAGTGTTCTCACCTTGTGCCCCACACTGAAACACAGCCTCTATGGGAGGACCCCATGTCATGTACCCCTACCTCACCAACTGTCACAGGTCCCAACGCCCAGTCTTTAAAAACCTTCCAGTAGCCGACCCTGCTGGGGCAATACTGCTTTCTGAGGGAGCAAGAACTTTGTTTCCCCATCCTGCCTCACCCCACAAGTTTAGACCATTCATTCATTTATGCATATCCTGACATGCACGTGACAAATATTTATGGCGTGGCTATGAAGGACCAGACAGTATAAGTATGAATTTAATCACTTCGCTTGTTTTGCCTAATCACCATAAGAAGGGCCTTCCTCCATTTCTCCAGACTCTATGTGGCCCCTAATGGTTGAAGGTTAGGACCAGAAACCCACCAATTCACCAAAGGCCTGAGCTGTTGAAGTTAGAAGTCTTACCTCCCTCATCCTTTCATCATCCCCAACCTTCCCCTATCCCTGGGTGGAGGGGAGGGGCCCATCACAGATGGTCGCTGTCACCTCTGGAACATCTAACAATAGAACATAGGGGTCCTGGGTAGGAGCTTCCTCAGACTTGATCCAGAGAGTTTACTACCTTCGGGTTTTTGCCCGCTTGTCTGCAATCATAACAGAGAATGGACAGCGAGAGCCTGTGCCCGGAAGCTCCAAAGGGGCTTTGTAAAATTCTCAATAAAGAGCATTTGCCTGTGGTGTTGGAAAATGGAGTCCCGCCTTACCCAAGCTACCTACCTCACCCTTGCTGGTTCCACCTGAACACGCCACTCCCAGCCTTACTAAAGCCTGCATCGTTGTCTACCCAGGAAGCACCTGTCTTCTACCACATCCCTGCTTTAGTCATTTACACCAGTGTGTGGGCCTGGTCTCCCCAGACAAACAGCTGCCGGAAGTAGTAGGCTAAGTGTGGGGTGTCCCTGTCTTTCTCCCCATATCAAGGTTCGATGAGTAATTGGAAGCTAAAGGTTGACTGAAAGCAATCCAAAGACTGTAAGGCTTCTTTTCCATAATTACTAGGATCTGTCTTCATAAAAGTGCCAACCATTTTGTGGTCCAGGAAGAACAAACCAAAGGACAGCCTAAAGATGTTTAATCTGTGTTCTCCCTGCTATTTCAAACTGTCATCTAATTTGCAGAAAACCCATGTTTTACTAATTAACAGGAGGCGTCATGACAAGAATCACGAACTTTTCCATAAAACATCGTGTCTGTTCTTGACAGCACATCAGGTCATTAGAGACATCATTCCAGCAGCAGCAGAACAATCAGGGTCCTATTACTTGTTGAAAATAAATACGATCATGGGTACTTTAACAGCCAAATCAGATCAAACAGATCAAATCATCTGCATAAGGCACATGTTGTAGATTTCCTAATTACAACCAGATCTTGTCCTTAAATCTAGTTTTGAGTGACAGTAACTTAATGCTGTCAGTTCAAAGACATGTAACATTCTGAACATTTTGACCATCATTTATATTAGTCCTTACACACACAGAGACACACACACACACACACACACACACAAACACACACACACACACACACACACAGAAAGAGAGAGGGAGAGAGAAAGGATCACTCATCTTCCCTTACACAAAAGTATACATGAAACCAGATAGGGGACAATGCATGTAGAATTTCCTTAACACACAATTTCATAGGAAAAAGATAAATTCCAACAACAGATATTCTGAGTCTTAAGGGCCTATCTACCTTCGTTTTGATAAGACTGGGGTTTGACCCACCCAGCACAACAATAAAAAAAAAAAAGACTGGAATTTGAATTCAGGTCTTCATGTTTGCAAAACAGGCTCTCTATCACTTGAGCTACACTTCCAGTCTGTTTTGCTCTGGTTATTTTTGGAGATGGGGGGGGTCTCGTGAACTATTTCCCCTGGCTGACCTCAAACCACAATCCTCCCAATCTCAGTCTCCCAAGTAGCTAGGATTATAGGTGTGAGCCACCACTGCCAAGCACCTATCTGCTTTTTTAATAGTATGTGAGCTGCTAACAGGGGCAAGAGGAGCCTAAGAACTTTCTACAAGGTACTAGCACCAGCTTCATTCTGTTTAATAGTCAGTGCTAAATTTTCCTTATAGGATTCAATGTGATACTTCTAATGGAGTAAACATGGTGGCTGTGGCTTGGGGCAGGGGAAGTGGTAAGCAGGTAGGGGGTTAAAAGGAAAAGAATGTAAGAAGTGCTGTGTTTCACTGTGCTAGAAAATTGTCACACCTCATCTCATTTAAGCTTCACTTCAGTTATGTGATGAATGTATAACTATTGTTACTTCTGGGGGGGGGTTCTCATATTTAGGAAGTGACAGAGCTGGATTGGATCCCGCTCTGCTGACACCACAGTTCACTGCATCACACACATTCACAGGAATAATGGAAACCCTGATTTATGGTTTTGAAATCCAGGAGTTTATCTTTCTTTCTCATCAGAATAGTCTGTTTAATAAAAGATCATTTATGTATTCATTTATTAATTGGTCAAAGAGGTAATGTATTTTTTCAGAACAAGATTCAAAAGATACAAAGAAGCATAGAATGAAAAGTAAATCTCTCTTCTTCCCTTGCCACCCTACACCCAATTTCCTTTCTTGAACTGTTCCCAGTTGCTTATGTATCCTTCCAGAATGTTCCTTTCTTTCCTCATTTGTGCCCAAGGCCAAATGTGAGCAGCATGCTTGGCTTGGAAACCTTGGTGGTGGTATTTGGATGAGACTGAGAAAGTCTCTCACCATGCTTAGGCACAAAGGCAAAGCTGGCAAGATCCATCTTTGTTCACTCTTGTTGCTTTTGGGTGATCCGTTCCTCCTCCTCCCCTACTGTCCTGTGCACCCTGATTTGTCCTTTCCTTCCTAGGGAGAACCATTAGTTTAAGACAGTTTCTGTTCTATTTCACTCCTCAGGACCCTGCCTGCTATTCCCTGAGGGGCTCTCTTGGCTGAGAAATTAGTCCTTACTATGGAATCCCTGCTTGCCTGTGGATTGATGGGCCACCCTTTTCACAAAACATGTTTACATTTTAATAAGGGGCTTCAATCAAGAGTAAGACTTGAAAAATGGTGACTTTAGGTGCTTTGTCATGAGAAGCAAATAACAAAAGGTGTTTTCCCAAGAGATATGATCTCATGGTTCTTCTACCTACAATCCCCTGTGCTTATCCTGACACTTTGGGCACCTAAAGTTGTTTAGCTCCTAGGGTAGGGCGTAAGATATTTGGTCTTGATTTTTTTTTCTTTTAGGATATGGTACACTTAGAATTTTTGAAACAAAATCTTCAATGCTGTACCCCTCTCTCCCCTAATATAGCATCTATAGGTTCCAATGTTGAGAAACAACTGTAATATCAAATAGAATTATTCTGACTTTAATATTCCCTAAATATTATCTCACTCTGCCTCTTCCAAAACAATATTCCAAATATGAGGTTGGGGCAGATTGCTTCACAAATTCAACATTTTCCCCAATCTAGGGATGAGGGGAGATGAGCATCTGTGCTGAGATTTATTGAAAAAGATCCTTGCTTGTGAATGGAATTCATTTTAATTTCTGCAGGTAATATTCTTCTTAAACAATTAGGCATGACTTCACAGCTCAAGGGAGAGAAACAGTAGGGATCTCCATCAAAGTCGTCTGCATTGAAGAAGGAAAAAAAAGAACGTTTTCAGCTGGGGCATTAAGGGCCTTGTACATAGAAGTATAAGAATTTCATAGAATGAAGGAATGAATAATTAGAAAGAAAATGAAGGCTCTGCTGCTTTCTTTAGATAGTTTTAATATAAATCTGTGGGGAATTAATTAATTCTGACCTCACTGCTTAGGCAACAATTGTTGTATGTTCTTCCTGTTTTGTGAATAACAGACAGCTTTATTGACCTTGACCTTAACCTTAACCTAGGGGAGGATATTCATAACCAAACCTTGGAGGCCCTCAGGAAGAGGAGCACGTCTGTATCCCATATGGATCTGATATACTTACACTGCAAATCTGGTTATTTCTCAAGCTTGAGGGAGTTCAGTGACATGGAAGACATGAGTTTTCACTTAGGCTAATGGGATTGAGCTTCTGACTACCACAAATGTGATGTTAGCAGTCACAGTTCAGTTTTAAAATCTATGGCTGTCTTTCTGATCTCTGGCTGAGTTACAGTCACAACTGATGAGCATTTTGAGATAGGCCTCCAGACCCCTGGCTCTCCAGATCTATTGTTTAGTATAACAACATTGATTTCTTTGATATGTATTTACTACTGTTCCTCTGGAGGCAAATATGTTTACATTTGCACTATTTATTTGCCAATAAAATAAATGATATACCCCAGAGACAGCAAAAGAGCCAATATTAACAACCCTTTTGCAAAAATGATATTTTCCAATAAGACCCAACTATGTTCTACTAATGAGCTTCCACAAGCCAGGCCTTCTCTGGACTATGCCTCTATAGTGCCTCCATATGTTCACCAGAACACATTCACAGGTTAGTTGGCCAGAGTCTGACGGATGCTTGTGGTCAGGGAAAGATCTTTGCCATGTACACCACAAACTTTCCCATACAAAGATGAAGACTGAGACTCTTTGCTCTGGTCAACCAGCCTAAACTTGCAAGTAGTGCTACTTGACACAGACCTTGAGTTATTAGGTACTTTGGAGATCATCCATTCTACCCCATTCATATTAACGCTAGAAATAATGTAACTCCAAGCAGGGTGGTGAGGTCCCCAAGGTCACAGAGTTAGCGACAGAGCTGGGACTTGAGCCAAAGCCTTGTCACCCCAAGTTTGGTGTTCTGTCTATAACTAGAAATACAGTTTCCTGTGGAAGAAAGTGAACACCACAGAGTTGTTTTAACTCAGAGTAGTCTTGGTTGGGTGTGCTATCCCCGAAAGTCAGAAGACCTCTCCAGTCTGCTGCTGATGGATTGTGTGACTGTCTACAAGGCACTTTCCTTTAACCAGATTAAGGTTCCACTTCTGTAAAATGAGAGGCTTGGACTAGGCAATGTCTAAGGTTCTTTCTGGTTTCGACAGTCTGTGACAATTGTTTTCAGTTGCCTATGACTTTTTCACCTCCTGTCTTCTTTCTCCCCCATCAAATTAATAACTCTTCAGATGTGTGTATACTTAAGTTCAACAGGTGTTTCTATCCACACTTTCTCAGCCAACAATGAGTGCACACACACACACACACACACACACTTGATTTTGAGGAGGAAGTACTACCCAAGACTCAGTACACACACAGTCTCACATTAATTGCAGGTGTCTGATATATGATTGTAGACAAAACAGCCTTTGTTCTCACCATTTGAGAAGCTTATTTCTGAAGGAGTTTCTTGTGCAGAGCCTATAGATTTGAAAGTGAAACTAGTTGCCGTCGACTTGAAAGATGGCGTCAACAACTTGTGCTGAAATGTTTTCTTCAGTCTCTCCTGTTCAGACCCAACATGCACCCTACACCTGATGCTCCCATCTGAAATGACACCCAAAAAAGTATAAGTGTCTTCAAATTTTACACTTCAAATGAGTGAACTTTATGACATGTGAACTATATCTCCCTCAATGATCCTGTCAAGAATACAAAGCCCAGTGAACAGTGTTTGTTCATTCTGGGAGTCAGCTTTTCTAAGCTGAAGAGAAGCTGTGAGAAGTAAATTTATGCTGCAATGTGTGTCACAGGAAGAGGTTATTGATACACCCAGCATAAAGGAGGGGGACCTTGGTGTTACTTCTAGATTTTAGAGTTCAAATACTGCCTTCCCTAAAGGAAACAGACTGGGGCTTGTATTGAGACTGAGACAAGCTGCCTGAATTGGATGGAAGATCCTTTTGATACATGTGACGTCAGTGTGCCACCTTGGAGACATCCTCAGGGCAAGCACCAGTGCTAAGAGGCAAGAGTAGAGTCCATTGCATCTCTGACTTTGCAGAGAATGCCATCAGAAGGGCCACCCAGGTAGCCCACTGGCCAGACATACTAGGAATTGATAAGTTCTCTCCACTGCCACCCCTACCTCTCACATCCCCTCAAACCACTCTGTCCCTGTGACCCAATGCCTGCAACACAGCAGACAATCAATATTCTTCTGATGAATCAAGACTAAGATGACGTAGATGACAAACAATGCAAGGAATCTGGGCCAAAACGAAAGCTCCACTAGGTTAAAGTATGGCCCAAGTCACATTCGTCACTTGACTTCATTCATCTTAGCACAGAAGCACAAATCATTTTAATGGCATGGAAACATCCCCTATTTTGATGCTTTGGCTATATGAACTTGTTAAGGAATGAGTTAGTCTTATCAGTCTTGTAAAACACATAAAATTCCACACCTTACCCAGACTGGCATCTTACCAGAAGAATTATCCAGACGCCACAACCTGCAATGGAGGTGTATGTGCCACTGCTCCCGCACACTCTCCTTCATCACGCAGTAAAACACAAAAATGAGGAATCCTAAGCCAGGAGAAGAAGGTCAGTCTTGTTCAGCTCTCTTTCACCAGCTATCACCAATACCCACACAAAGGCCTACTCTTGTCACCATAGATACTACTTCCAAAGAGCTCCAGGGCCATTACTGGCCTTCTGATCTTATCTTAGCCTCCCCAAAGGTAGCAAGGGGAAAAGGGTCTATGTCAAGACTTCATATCCACTACTATTTCCCCTTAGGTTGCCCTCTATCCCAAAGCATGAGAAATAAGGGTTACCATAGTGCCAGCCTCTGAGATGGCTCTCACCGATCCCCACATCCTGGTGTTTATACCCTTGTACAGTCTCCTTTCACATTGTCACATTGTACCAACAGAATATGGCAGAAATAATGGCATAGCACGTCTAAGATTAGGTTACAAAAGACATCTCTCTCTCCCTCCCTCCCCCTTCCCTCCCCCACCCCTCCCAGTCTCTCTCATTCACTCTAAAAAGTAATCAAGCCTTTTGTCTTGAAGACATCTCTGTGGAAAGGCCCACATGGTGAGAAACTAAGGCTTCCAGTTCACAGCCATGGGAGTGGGCCTTCCTGGAAGCAGATTCCCCAGCCCTAGTCAAGTTCAGATGACTACACACCCAGATGACAGCTTGACTCCAAATTAATGAGAGTCTCTGAGCCAGGAGTACCCAGCTAAGGCTGTTCCTAGATTCCTGACCTTCAGATATTGTGGGAGATAATAAATGCATGTTGTGTTAAACTGCTGAAATTTGGGGGTAATTTGTGACACAGCCATAAATAACCTGCACGCATGATCTTTGGTGCAATTACACCATGTGGAAACAATGTAATTGGTGCCCTCAACTTCCACTGCCAGCTCTAATTTTGTCCTACAAGTGAGGGGGAGGTGCTAAACATATCTATCAGCAATATGGGCTATTTTTCATTTCCACCTTCTAAAATATCTCTTTGGAAAATAAAAGTAGGACTTAAGCTATTCCCGAATGTAAATTCCCTTGGGGGCCAGTTGGATTTTCTAAAGTTGGGGGAGGAATTGGCAGAAATTACTCCAATACTTATTGACAGGAGTTATAGTCCAAATCCAAAATCTTTACCCACAAATATTTTACTGATGCCTCAAACTGAAACTCATTTTTCCACTTCTGAGCTCCCATAACACTTTGGTTCTCATAATACTTGTCACATTGAGCAATATAATTCTCCACATACTGCCCATCTCACCACCCAGCTGTCCAGTCTTTGAAGGGCTTGGGTATATTTCCTTTTCATCTTCATGTCACCTTTCCTTTTGTCTCTAGTAGTATATATGGCAGCTCACTAGATGGTTGATGACTTGAACTCCAAGATACTCAATGCATAAATTCTCATAGCCTTCTATAGCCTTAGCAATGCCTGCTTGGGCCTCAAAATACGTATTTTGGCACAAGTGCAATTTGGAAACCTTGATTCTCTGTACAGGGTTCAACTTGCCTCTACACTGGCAATTGGTCCTATGGTAAATTAGATAGCGGAAGGGTCTTAACTCTGCAAAGTGAGCACAAGCAAATGCCTTCAAAGCTTATTTCAGTAATCCCTTAGTGGAAGTAAAGAATCTTGATTGAGGCAAGTGGGACTCTCCCACTGTCTGCTCTGGTTTGACCATGCATCCCACCAGTCCAGTTTGGGGGGCTTTGTTTTAAGAAGATGATGACAAACAGAAGTACAGAAGAATAGAGCAAATGGGACAGTAATGAACTTGAGGAAAATCTGTGGTGTGCATTTGGGTAAGCCAAACTTGGAGTGGGAACTACAGGGTAAGGAGAGGTGGTAGTCACAGATCTGAAAGGGCTGTCATGAAAAGGAAAACTTACGCTTGTTCTGTGTGGTTGTCAGATTAGAACCAAGAGCCATGGGAAGCAGCTACAGCACAACCATTTAATAACAAATTCCAGCTAGTGTTTATAAGCAAGGAGGCTATGATAGGCACTGTGATACTAGTCTCATGTTTACAGATGAAAGACTCAAAGTCCAAGAAGTCTAGTAAACTTGACCCAGGCCACAGAGCTAATATTGAGTTGGCAGCATCAGGATTGAACTTGGGCAGTCTGACTGTAGAGCCCAGAGTCTTAACCACTGTCCAATCCTCCCCTCAGGTAGGAAGGCTGGTAGAAGAACGAGAGCTGCTTAGAAGTTGGATGTGCTGCTTTATGGAATGGCAAGTTTTCTGTCTCTGGAAAGTTTCAGGCACAGGCAAAAGACTTCCTGTCACTTGATGGGGAGTTGGATTGGGAACATCTCCAGGCCCCAGCCCTGAGACTCTCTGATTCCAGGTGGGAGGCAACAATTTGGAGGCTAAACGAAATGACATGTCTCACTAACTCTCCCGAGGGCTTCACTTCCATTTGTAATCAAACAAGCGTGGTGATGAATTCAGCAGCCACCCAGAAGGCAGTGCAGCAACCTGATGGGACCAAACCCAGTCTCAGAGCAGGTAAAACTCCTCCAGCTTCAGCATAAACAAGGGGCAACAGTGACATCAAGCAGCTATGACTGCTCTGATTTCCCACATGGAGTTCAGTTAGTTCTCAGACTTAAAGGTTAGCCTGTGAATTCCAATGAGCTGCCTGCCAGCTCTCCCTCTCCACCTGACAGCCTTCCTTCTTCTCCAATAACAGATTGATCTGCTTACTCACCAGAACACAGGCATGAAAGATGTCAAGGTTTTGTCACCTGCATTTTAACTTGTGCATACTCCTTCACAAATGGTGCATCATGAACATAAGTGACCACAGGATGCCTCCTTTCAGCCAGAATCACTAGCTTGCCATTTTTTTCCTTAAGCTACTTTTGTCACTTGTTTCACTGCATTCTTGTTTTGAGGTTATTTGGGGAGTGTATGTGTGTGTGTGTGTGTGTGTGTGTGTGTGTAACTTGAATTTGAAACTCAAGGCTCCGAAAATACCCTCACTGCAAGATGGTAATTTTGTGTTGTAGGCAGGACTAGGAATGTTGGGTGCATGATTAACAGAAAGCATATCTGACAGACGGCTTGGTTCTGTTGATGCCAGATTTAGGGGCTTTTGGTTTTCATCTTCAAGAAGACAGCCAATTAATTCTTCTTCTACACATATAGGCTCCCTCTTAGATACTACATTCCCATTTCACAAAAGGAATGGAGGACTGGCTGTTTTGAAAACACCACCTCCCTTTTGAAGTTCAAAACTGCCTTGCTTTCTTGTTCTTTTGACAGCCTTTCTTAGACTCCTCTTTGGATATAGTGAGCACATTTCTCCTCAGATTAGTGAACAAAAGGGAAGCTGGGAGTTAGCACTGAGAAAGCAGTCTACACAGGTGCCTGGTTCCTAATCCACTTCTGTGGACACTCTCCAATAAGGTTGGTATGTTCTTGACATTGCTAGAATATACAGCGGTATGGGTCAGGTGGTTTTGTACAGAGGCAATGCGTAGCAGCATCACAAAGGCCTCAACCGGCAGTCTAGATTATAACCAAGTGCTTGTAGCCTCCTAGGGTACTGAAGGAGAGTGTGTAGAGAGTTCCTAGAGCCCATCCTTACTACCTGAGGCAATGAAAAAGTCCTGTAGAGGAAAGTGAGCATATTCGGTACCTTTACATATTCCACTCAGCATATAGATGTACAGTAAGATCCCCATTATCCAAGGGAGATGCATTCCCAGAGCCCAGTGGATGCCGACACAAATTAGCTAGATCTGGCTTCACTTATCTGGGCTGCTCCCTATGTCTCTGAGTAAAAGAGAGGGCTCTGTATTTATTTAATGAGGGCTAATATCTAGCCAGCCTTCATGTCAACTCACTGGGAGCAGGGGTTCCTGGAGTGTTTTCTCCTTCCTTGAGTCTCTGCTAGGTGACATTATTTTCCAAAGCCACAAAGACTTTACTGGAGACTTTACTAGCCACAGAAAGGCCAAAGAAGCAGCAGTTACCTTGCAAAGTATTACAAATTGCAAAAAGATATGTGAAAAAGATCCTCACAGGTCCCCAGGCAAAAAAGGCAAACCCCCAGGTGAGGCCAAGTAAGAATGTCAAGCTTATTGTGCCTTTGAGGTCATGCAGGATCATCTTCTTCCGAGTCTTCTGGCTTTGGAATTTCACAGAATTCAGTTGAGCAAGAACAATGCAAAACATGGAGAGATTCATGATAAATATGAGGCAGAAATAAGCCACCACCGAGATGTAAAATATAGAATCATCTGTAATCCAACAACTGCAAGAAACAAAGAGAAGACTTTTGTGAGGTAGGGAAACATAAACTCCTTCTTTACAGAGTCTCGGAAGATCTCCTGGCCTGTTTCATTTAATCTGAGGGCACCTCTACCAAGAGAACCCCAGTTCAGGCTCCTTTCCAATGCCAAGTTAGAAATCCTAGAGGATATTTCTGCCCTCCATATGGAGAAAGCTCTCAGTCTATTTCCTTAGGTGACTATTTCTTCCTCAACAGCAAAAAAACCAAATTATGTATTTTCCTCCAAAGTGGCTCTCTTCTTCCCCCCCCCACACCTGAGCTTTTTATTTGCAGGATAAATTCAGCTTTGCATGATAAATATCACAGTAAAAGGACATGAGCCCTGGCTGACTTTTCTGAATGCTTTGTCAAACAATAACGTGATGATTATAGTTAATGAAAATGCAACAAAAGAGGACAGCTCTAGTTGTACAGCTTTAAAATATGATGCATTTGGACTACATAAAGGAACACTAGCCACTGGATAGATCAATGGTCTATGGTTTCTATAAAAGAAGAAACGTGCAGTGGTTCATATGTACACCACACACTTCAGTTAATGTTTCCAGGTGCTAGAAGCATTCCCTCTGAGTTTTGACTCTGTGTCAATTGGCTCTGGGATCTCTTTGCTAAAAACCAGGAAAACGCCTCCTGGACATGGTGTGCATCACTTCATATGTGTATGAGTTGATGTGTTGGTGAGTTGAGACAGTATGTAAAAGAACATCTAATTTCCCTGATAGAGTCTGATACCCAGGATTCTCTGTTATCTTCAGCCCTGAAGGAACCTATAGAAAACTCTTCAAATGATCCATAGAGGACCATCTCCAAGATACACTGTTAAGTGAAAAGAGTAACATACAACATGGTGGATATTTATTATTTGAGTAACAAAGCGTTCAAGGGGTCACTCATGTGGCATCTAATAAAGTTGATCTATAGAAATAGATAGGAGAATAATGGTTTCCAAAGGCTGGGGAGTGTAGAGGGGAGGAAGGGGTGGGAACAGGTTAATCAATGGATGTAACATTGCAAAAGACAGAAGGAACAAGATCTGGTGTTCCATTGCACAGCAAAGGGGCTATAGTCAACAACATTGTATTGTATACTTTAAATTAACTAGAAGAAAGGATTTTGAATGTTTGCACCACAAAGAAATGATAAATATTTGAGGTGATGGATATGCTAATTACCCTGATTTTATCATGACACAACGTATATGGATATCCAAAATTCCACTGCACCCCATAAATATGTACAACTGTTATATTTCAATTAAAAATAAAATAACTTTAAAAATTAAAAACCAACAAAAAAGCATGCAAAAGAATATCTACAGATTTTACTGTTGGTTATAAGAGCTACCTCAAGGGAGAGAAACTGGGGGGGCGTGGAATGGGGCCTACATTTCAGCCTCTACCCTTTTGTACATTTGGATTTTGTACCATGTGTTGAATTACCTTTCAAAATATAATTATTTAAAAAACAAAACTCTTAGAGCCATCTGCCTCTTACTAACAAATTCGCATGTGAAAAGGCTGTTTGGGGGGAGAGCTGAGTTGATTCTGTTCTGCTTTTGTTTTTGCTTTTGATCTTTGAAGAAGAATCAGCATTAGATAGATCTTGGGGACCTTTTAAGTCACAAAAACAGGCAAAGAGGGAGGACAAAGGGGGAGACTAGAAGGAAAGCCAGTGAAAATGGAGAGAAAGAAAGGATAACAAGGAATTTTAATTAGAAAGCATGGCTGCAAAGGGCAATATAATTTCTACCCGCTGGAAACTGTCGTCTCAGTATGAAAGACAGGAGTCTTGGGAGCAAGACTTCCTACATTTGATTCTAGTCCAGTGGGAGAGGAAATCTATAGTGGATGTGATCTTGAGATGCAACCATAAAGAGACTGGATATGGAAAGTAAAAACAGACACCATATCATACAGCCTAAAGGATTACAGGGTTGTAAAAGAGATGGAATGGCCACTCTTTTGTGGCTGTGGTTGAGAGGACCAAAGGGACAGGCTTACCCACCAAACGAAGAAGAAAGGAAAGAAAAGAGGCCATGGAAGCTGAGCCGGTTTACAAAGGGAAGCTTTGCAGCTTCCTGCAGGGAAGACCTTTGTTATTAAAAGGTAGAAAATGTTTTCCCACTTATCTCAGTATTTCCTCAGAGTGGCCACTGAATCTTTCCAATGGTGAGTTTTATAATCCTAATGGCTGCCAGTTAGAGAGCACTTACCCAAGATCAGGCAACAGGCTGAGCACTTCACGTACATGATGTCATTTTAATTTGCACATGACCTTGACAGTAAATATTATTAGCCCCGTTTTCCAGAAGAAGAAACAAAGCTAAAAGGTAAGGTAATCTGCCCAAAGTCATACAGAGCCCAGGCACCTAAACATTCCATGAGTGTGCCTGTGGCTGTGTTTAGGCAAGAAGGCTGAGACTCAGTGCTCATCAAGGTCAAGACCGAGCCCCAGCCCATACCCAGCCTGGCCAGAGCTCCACCACTTGAGAAGCAGAGATGCTGGTACTTACAATGGAGTTGTTGGGCTCAGAGTTCCATATAGATCTTTTTTCACACTGAGTATGACTGCCACGGTGATTGCTGGAATTCCTAGAATGGGAAAGCAAGCCAAAGGATCCTGTTATGTCTGGGGTGAGGGATGGGGGCACTAGTACAGGAAGATACGCTTTAAATTAGCCACAGCTGTGCGGGCATCAAAATACCATTGTTTGCAAAATGTTTGTGAATTCTTCCAAGTTAAACATTTCTCAGAGTTTTCCAATCTGCTAAACTAAACAGCATGCCATGGCTCCAATACAACGCCCACTGGTTATTAAAAACAGCTCAAGTGCCAAAAACTCAACTTGGCAATAGAAGTACCTAATTCATTGGAATGCAAGTTTGCATCAAGCATTTCTTCTCAGATGCTGGGCCGTCGATTTTGTTCTCTCTTTGAATACTGCCCCTTAGTCCCTACTATCTTTGTCTCTAGGTCACCTTGGAGGAAGGGAACAGGCAATCAGTTGCACCCTTCAGTCCTGTTTTTGATAGGGAAGCCATTTCCGTACTCATTTACTAGTTTGGCATTTTGAGTACATCGACCAGTTAACGACCAGTCAACTCAGTCAGACTTTAATAAAGCAATCAGTTCAGTCAAAATGGTCAAACGTGACAGGAGCATAGACCCCGGGTTTCAAAATCCAATTTCATGGACATCTGCAAAACTTGAATGATTTATTTCCAAAACTGTATTTCTTCTAAACTAAAGAGCATGCACCCACTTACATTTTAAAGGTTTTGGAAGATAGTTCTCAAACCTGTTCCAAACCCCTGAGTGCTAAGCATCTTAACAATCCTCTACTCTTCTGTTCTGTGATTAACAGGAAAATTCCATCCAATTGGAATAGCCCACCCCTAGCACAGGACCTAGGCTCCTGCAGATGTTTTCCAAAAATACCTGAGGGAGGCTAGAAGGAAGGGATGGAGGAAAGCCTCATAGTTAGGAGGGAATTACACAGCAGTCCTAAAGTTTACATGTTCATAGTTGTTTTTTTAAATCCCTCTTGGTAGTGAGTTAGTTTCGGCGGCACTGGAGTTTGAACTCAGGGCCTCACACTTGCTACGCAGGCACTCTTACCACTTGAGCCACTCTGCCAGCCCCCATTATTTTTTTTAAATGTGAACAAATCTACTGCCTTGGACAGGGATTTAAATAAAGGAATAAACCTTTGCAACAGGTTGCCTTGACATTAAGAAGTCAGAGTTAATATTTATTGTCCTTCTAGTTGATTGTATATGTCTAATGTTTCAATATTCCAAAAATCCCTGCAGTGGCTCCCTGGTGAGTCTTGTGTCTAGGGCAAAGGTTTGGATGTCAGCTTATCAGAATTTTGGCAGAGTGCCCTGTGGCCCTCCACGAAAGGAAGCCTGTGAGATGTTCCAATGTCATCTCTTACTCGTCTCCCTGTCTCCTCTGGGAGACAGTCATGAGACATGTTCTCATCACCTCCCAGGTTCTGGGGAGATGTGGGACTTTGTATCCTACCCTCTCCGAACAGAGCTGCAGAAAAAATAACCACATAGCTTCCATTTGGAACTTGCTTGTCAACAACAGGGAATCCCACAACTTGTGCAGCAGTCATCTGTCCCCTTTTGTTTTGGTGTTATTCTTTCTTAGAGTATGATTTGAGAACTTGGGAGCTGGCACTTTTAACTACTCTTCCTTTCAGTGATTTTGTCAGTAATAAACTGAATATAAGAGTGGCTCTTGCATCTTTCTTTACTGGTCAGCCAGTCAGTCCTTGGCCTTGGCTTTGTGTTGGCTTGTGTGTGTACTTGATATTTCTCAAGATTCTCCTGCCTTAGCTTTTCTTGCCTCTCCCTGTACCCCAGGTAGTGTATGGAGAGAGAGTCAAGAAGCAAACCCTGCAGAACAGCGACATGAAAGAAATAAGTGAGGGAGGAAGAGTCTGCAAAGAGAGCTGCGACTGAGTAGTGATGAGGAAAGAGAAAAGCCAGGATCAACTCTGACAATTAGACCTATGTTGGTTCTTCAATTTTTGGGTTATTCATGAGGACCCTTCCACAATATTTTTCAGTCCTCTGGCTGAATCAAGATGAGGGATGCCAGGCACCCAAGCACTGCTTTTGGCTCTGTTTCTAATGAATTCCAAGGTGTGCAGAAACAAGTTTTTAGATTATGCTTTGTTTAATATTTGCCTCTCTCTGCTCCCCACACTAGCATAGATAACACTGTGTAGCCAATGTAGGCGTACACTATGTTAATTAACTTATCAAAAGGCTGAGTAGCTAATTAGGAAGCTATGGCGTTCATGCAGGCAGTGGAAGATAAAGTCAGTCTTCCTAAGTACCCCATGTAACCTGCTTCATAAACACCTCCTGTGCTTCCAGCC